CCTGTTCAGCGCCTCACTGGCGTTTGTAATCACAGGTTACAGGGGGGACACAAAATGACATTTCATACACCGCTAGGTCCAACTCAGAGGTTTGTTATCCCTGCTGTGTGGCCCTTCTTACTCAGCCGTTACAGCAGCTCAGATAATAAATGTCTGTATTTAGGTTTGACCAACACCTTAATCCATATTGAAATATTTCACAACTAAAAGACTGATTTGCATGGTATGGCATTTTTTTATAGACCTCCATGAATTCAAAAGAATGTATCGTAACGCTTTTCATGTTCTCCTGACTTTTCCTCCATTATTGCCAGAAATGTGGTACAGACGATTCCACTCGTAATAAATAACCACTTTAGCGATCGCGTTACCTTAACTCTAGTGTCATTGACAACTGGTAAAAATCCTGTGTTAAAACAATCCCTTCTTAATGGCAGGACCTATTTTATTTTATAGCATACATCATTTACGGAAAGCCTGCTTGAAGCCCCCTGGCATCTATTTTTTATGGAGTGCATACAGCTGTAGCATCAAGGATGTCCAATGAAATTCAACATAGTTAACGTTGTGATTTTACCATTTAACGACTTCTTTAGGCAACAAAATGCTCAATGTCTTGAAAAAGATCCAGGTTTGAATTCAAATTAGTTTGTGGCTGGATTGGGTTGGTTAACTCTTGTTTCGTGAAAAATGATGTTTTGAAAGTGAGAGCGAGTTGCATTTTCAGGTAACAAATGTGATTCGTCTATTACGTTGGACTGGTTTAGAACTAAATCAAAGCAATGTCATTTGATTCAGCTAGCTTAAAGTGTGCAAGGTGCTAATTGACTCAAACAAGTTAGCTTTCCTATTGTGAGCATTTTAGCCTGTTGTTGTTAGCATTTAGCTCCAAGAAACCTCACGTTTTTGCTGAACAACTGCCATGGTTCAATCTTTATCTTTATCTATTGTTTCATTTAATTTGTCACACTTCATTTGTCATAACATTTGAAATGTACTATGACTCTAGTTTTTAACATGTTTTGACAGTAAGGCTAACCAAACTTCTCGATGTAGCCTCACTATATCTTTTAGGGACCATATTTCAGACATGACTAATTTCATCGTCCTTTTTATTTACCTATTGTAACTTTTATCTGTATCTGCTCTAAAGTGGTGACACAACCAGCTGCTTCGACCCAAAGGACTAGACAATGTCATGTTACACACTCAGCTCCAATGATACCAGCAGACAGAGATAAAAGATCAACAGACAAACACACTCAATCAGGGGAAACTGTCATACCACTAGAGACGCTGCTGATTTTAGAGACGTCCGTGTCTGCTTCGTACCATCACGAAAAAGATGAAAGCCTTGACTCTCCCTCTCCGCAATCAAGACGCACACTCAAGATAAGTGAGTGGTCGCATTAAAAAGATTCAACCTTTGTGTCTCCAGGGGGAAATTGGACAAAGCAGAGAGCTTTTAATCAGTTTGGAGTTCAATGAGATCATGAGAACACGATACGCATCTTTTGTTTTGTGTTATGAAAACAAACATTTTGAGCGAATGCATCCGACAAAATGGATGGGAAGACGCCAGAACCCATTAACTTGAAGTTGGTTTCTCATCAGCTATATTATATATTACACTAAATATGTAATGTATGTAAAAACTTATTTTCACTTAAAGCACTTAAATGTCACCGTGATGACTCGCTTCCATGTGGTCAGTGACATAACGTCTCCACTTCGTCCCATTGTACAGGGACATAGAAAACATATAACCACAATCTGATTACAGAGAGAACATTTCAAAAGCTCCTCTCATAGCGTGTATTGAGTGGGTGGTCTTTGAAGCATACCATCATAATGCCATGTTGAACAGTGACTGTCTGCTTAAAGCCACAGATAGCAGGAATGCTAAAGTTAATGCTTTAACATGGTAGTTCAGAAGGCCCTGTGGCACAAAAGGCTTCACATGAACACAGTCACAAAGAACAAGGCCTCTCTTGTACAGTAATGCAACTGAAGTAGTAACAATGATCCCTGCTTGGCAGGTAATGGATGTAGAGTCAGATGTCAGCATGAGAGTAGAATTAGTGCTCCGAGGCTTGATAACAGAACCATTATTGGCTCATACTTTGAAGACTCAGAGAAAGATTTCTTAACCTTTTTAACTAGATATAGATGTTTCTGAATCTTACAGTTCAAACATGACATAATGTTACTGTAAGGTTTAAAGCACATGTGTCAAACTCAAGGCCCGGGGGCCAAATCAGGCCCTTGGTGGATTTAATTTCGGCCCGCAGGATAATTTTGAATTACTATTCGATCTGGCCCGCCGGTATATTGCACGCAGACCTTCACTCCATCCTGAGGGTTTCCTCAGCTCAGAGCCTGAGCCCAAACATTGATGACCTTGCACCCAAGATGAGATGCCAAGTATCTGAGCTAGCATCACAGAGCAGCACGCTGAGTTTCAATGGATGTTTCCTTCTGCACTTTTTCTCTCACGAGAACAGGGCATGTTTGTTTTTTTCTTTGAGGGAAATTGTTTTTTTGAAGCTGTTGTTAAGAAAAGACTCCGGAAAAGCTGCAGATAGAGCCATAAGAAATGAATGCAACTGATTATTTAATGTTTAATGTTGTTTTTATAGACAATCATTTAAGCTTTGTTAGTTCCAGGTTTAATATGTGCAATAAGTTCATTTCAATACGCTTTGCAATAAACATTGAACCAGTCCGGCCCTCGACGAGTATCCATTTTTCTATTTTGGCCCACTGTGTATTTGAGTTTGACCCCCCTGGTTTAAAGCATCTGATATAAAAGCGATTTTAATGTTACCTCTATATAAAGTGCTGTCTCGTGTACTGTCTGATACAGAAAAAGATAACTTTAAGCGATGTCATTGTGTCCTTAGCATTCTCTTTTGGTAACCATTAAGGCGATCCTAAATAACAGAAGAAGAACCAGTTGGACAGACTTAACCAAACCTGTATTTGTTACTTATTGAAATGTGACTACCATGAAACCTGTAATAAATATAGTTTAATGTTTCACCAGCTACGTCCCTTTTGTCTACTGTTTTCTGCACACTAATCAATGTTGAACACTGTACTTAACACATTAAGACACTAGGATTTGGCTTCCTTCATTCCCTATTATGGATATACTTATGCTTTAGTTTTTTCTGATGTTTTAATATTTTGATATTTTCTTCGAATGGTGGATTTAAAGTGTCATGTATTGTATGTTAATAGAAAAAGGGTATACACCTCTGAGCTCCAAAAACGTTGGAAAGATGGAGCTTTCATGACCAAGCCGAGTAAAAAGAACACACTCACAAATCCAAGCTCTCAGTTCATGCAGTCCCAGCCTCATGAAGCCTCACAGCATCTCCCCCCCCGCCCCCCGTGCCTTCACCTCCAGACAAACTTTTACTCACCTCTCCACAAACACACTCTCACTTCTCCAGCTCAGAGGCTTCAGGGCCCCAGATCACAACCTCTGCCTAATTTATGTTTCTCTGCGCTGCGAGGCCACGCGCCCGTGTCTGTTGTTTATGTGGAAGCTGCCGACAGGCCATTAGAGCTTTGAAACATAACTCTTAGTTTTACTGATCTCTTAGGTCCTACTCTAATATTCTTAGGGGGGAAAAAACTGTTTTGAATGTCATCCAGGACAGAAAGATAACAGTTTGGAGGTTCAGGACAGTAGGGTGCTGCACAGAAAGACAAATCGAGGCAATGTTTCTGACATTTATTATTAAGGGAGGCGAGGATCTGGAGAATTTAAGATATTTCTATGGCAAGGTAGAAGTTGTTTGGGAGAAAAACAACAATACAGACTCACACTGCACTATAACTAATGCATGCTAGTTCATCATGAGGCACATAGTGTAGCTGCCATACGCATCTCTGTTTTGAATCAGGCTCCTGGGTCTTTTGCTTTCTCCACTTTTCTGTCTCATTCTGACTTTTCTGCCATAATTGCCCCCGACAGCTGCTGGGAAACTTGGAAGATAATTTCGGGGGAAAAAATCCTCTGTTTTGACATAATCACCTCTGTACGGAGAGCTCCTCGGACCCCCTTTGAGAACCACTCTCTACACTTTCTGCGCGAGTAAACAACCTGTTTGTGATTTTGGCACCGAGTTGCAACACTGAGGAAAGAGAGTGAGAATGTGAAAAGAATTGACATCAACTTTTCAACAAGTGATAACAAATGGAGGATGGAAACGTAAAGGGAATACACGTGCTGTGAAGTAGCAATAAGCATGTACATGTTTCAATACTGAATGAGTACAAAATGCTTTTTGACTGTATACAAAACCCGCCCTGCCAAAAACATTGTTCATAAACTATAGTCACTTTAAAAGAAAGAAAAAACACAGATTGAATTGAGTTTTCTTCTACACTACACTACACTTCCCTTAATTTCACCAAAAGTTAACATGAGATAATGCATCATTTGCATATTTAATTACAACATTTCAGGAAATTGCAATAAAAAAAACAATTGTTGCCATGTTTCCTCTTTCGTCGTGATGTTTATTAGTAATTGTTTTGCCCTGTTCCCTTACTGTCTTGAGGAATGTATGCACTTTTTTTGTCATAATCTGAGCAATTTCCAACTCAAGTTTCAGTACCTATCTATAGATTGGAAGTTTGTAGGGTTTGATTAATATATCAATGTCTTTGTATCAATTAGAAAGCCGTATTAATACAAAACAATTTCCTAAAACATTGCAATTCCATCGATGTATTTTAAATTGATTAGAAGAATCCCCTCTGTAAAATTATTATTTTAACGCAATATGTCAACACATTGAAGCAATAGTTTTGAACCTAGCATTATCCAATGATCCTATTTCTTTAAATTCATGCTAAGAAATTGTTAAAAAGTTTACCCCATTCATCCGGGTGGGTCTGAAATAATAAGGAAAATAAATGAAAATGCACAAAAGATATAATCATTGCTGGGCATTCTGTGTAGGCTTTCTATCTGAAGTGACACACTGAGAAGCTGGTGACCACGAGGATCCATCACTACTCTCAATTTAGCCCCGAGTCAAGCGCCACCCTCTGCACATGCACATAGAGTGATGATATTTTCATAACCCGGTTATGGTGAGGTAATAGGCTATAAGGGAAGGGCTCCACCAACAGCTGCAGTGTGGACGACATTGGCCCCAGACCCTGGATCTAAAATGAACTGCACCCTTCCCCTCACACCTAGCCACTGAAATCCATTACATTTGCACAGAAACCACAGAACAGGAATGGAAAGGTGCCAGTAAAATCAGGCAGTTTGTCAGTTTCCAGATTTTAAAGGTTAGATTTTTGGTTGAGTTGGAGTTTTTGGTGTAGTTTTAGATCAATCCTAGTGGGTGTACCCGCTCACAAACTAAAAAGGTTGATTGTAAAACACGGAAAAGGAGAGTAGGTGTGGCAGCTTGCAACATTTATTTTCATTTCCTTCCTAATAATAATTTCCAGAGAGCCCCATTAATGGAAAACAGTGGTGATGAAAGAAACATGTCATACAAATTCATTATTTATTAGACTTGCAAATGACTTCAAAATGGAACAACAGCCTGAGCAATTAGCCAATTCTATACCCATAATCACATTTGACAAACAGCGTAATGACACACTTAAAAGACTGAGATAATAAATAACACTCAGGAAATCCTGCTTTAGTCTCCAGTCAGTCATTTAAATATACATTACTTAACGCTATAATCAGCCATCATGCATAAAAATAAACACAGTTGGCGATCTTTATTTTGGAAAAAGTAAAATGGAAACAATTAACTTGGAGCTTCCTTGGCCAGAGGTTGAGCCGACATCTGTGTGTTGTCCCAGCTGTCCAGATGAAACATGATGAGCGCCTGTGTGTGTGGGCAGGGGCGGTGAAACCAGACATTAAGGTATTCTCCAGCTACAGATAACACAACTATTTCACAAGCTTAATATTGATGTGTATTAGACTAGTTCTTTATCTGGATTTGCCAAGTCTGGGATTTACGTTTTGTGAAGGGTTAATAGTTGCAAGTTTATTTTTTAGGGCTTGTTAAAAGGGTCCTTGTAATAAGCCATAGTAAATTGGTTCATTTCGAAGCACTTGGTAGAAACTGAGTGAGTTTATAGACTGTTTAAGAACAATAAAGCTACATTATTTAGGTATTTTACCTTAAAATATGGCTTTTGTGACATAGTATAGGGAGAATGGCATCTGTCAGTCCCACTCAATGTACAATGTAACTTTGGTAGTATTTAGAGCAAGTTGATTTTGGTAAAACTGGGTTCAAGTTTTCCCTCTGCTCGGCTGCTTTGTCTTAACATTTCGTTTTTTACAAAGCACAGAAACGACAATAACCGCTAATCGCTAACTACTGCTAACTGAAAGTGTTGACTGCTGGCTGTTATAAAGATTCCTATATACATTTTGTGGTTATAAAGCCTTTGAATGTCTCATAAGCAAACAATAATAGTGTTATCATGCTATTATTACAACTAATACTATCCTATTAACACATAATGTCAAAAAGCATCTTATTAGGCCCATAATAAAAATATTACCACTTAACCAACACTCAAAATAAAACGTTACCATTTGACTATGTAAACTTTAAATACAAAAAATAACTCTATTTCTATGAACATTATGCAAATGGTTTTCTGTTGGAAGCTTGACTGACTGCACTGAAATACTTATTTTGAGTAACAATTTACATATAGAGGTTCACTCTGCACCACAGTGGTGTGTTTGTTGTGCTACTACACCATTCCTCTCGAGTGGTTGTGGTAGCATTTGGGGTCCTTAGGGACGGTCATCTCATCCCAGACCAGAAGGCAACAGGTGGTCCGTCCTGTAACCAGGCCTTTCTCTAATGCCAGTGTGTAGAGTGAGGATGGTGTTAACACTTTTACAGCTCCCCTGGGGCAGTGTAAGAGCCATGGCTGGCCCGTGTAAAAGCCTCTGGTGACAGGTCACCTTGGCAGAGGGTGGCACTGCCAAGAGACGGCGATCTGCCGGGTAACACGGGTCAAACTGTGGACAGACACGCAGAATAACACAGCTGAGGTGGGATGAGTATGAAAGACCAAGGAAAACGAATGTAATGATTTTAAACGACTTTCAACCAAAAATCGCCAACATTCAAAACATTAAAAGGGTCAAAAAAATTCAAATACTGTATATTAAAAGGTCTAGTATCTTCCCCGTATAGGAACCCTCTTAAACCAAATCTCTGTCGTCAAGGTGGTTATGTTGTCTGCTTGGTTTGACTGCCTGTTAGCTGGATTACGAAAAATAACTACTGACCTGATTTTGTTTAAAGTTATTGGAAGGGAAGAAAAAAATGATTTTTGAGTGGCTCCAAATCAAAGCTGGATACTCCATTATGTTTGACTTTCGTTAACATTCAAGATAGTTCCTTTGTGCTGCATTTTTATTTGTTAGAATATTTGTAAAACAATTATTCTGACTGTTAATGCCCCCCAAAGTCAGGTCAACAACACTGGAACACATGTAAACACTTTAAGCTATAAAATACATCTTCTGTGTAGCATTCAAGTTATTTCCACGTTGAAAGATATACAACCCAAATTGGCATATGGGGCCATCCGGAGTGCCTGTGAATGCCTTGGCAGAGGTCCACGGTCAACGAGAGTCCTTGAGTTCTCCAAGTAATTGTTCTATTGAGTGGCAGTGACAGCACCATAGCAGTACAGAGATTCGTCTCCAGTGTGAATCGCAATATAACAGTCAAACAAGATAACATAGCTTCCTTCCTTTATCTTACAACACCTACAGCAGCCTACAAGATTGAACCTAACAACAGAATGAGCTAAACTCATCTTCTCCAGGTGGTAGATGTATGTCCTTCATCATGAGGCTTGCATTAGGGTTACACATCAAAGACATTGTAACATAATAAATACTGTTTCCTATCACATTGATCCAATAACGGTTCAGTTCATCGGGACTGTGTTGCGTACACAAGATAAAGCATACTTTGAGTTATGTATCAGTTATAAAAGGAAAGGATAGGATTACAACATGCGTGCTTAGAACATCCTAATTTAGTTGTGTTGCGAGTCCAGAAATGTGTGATGGATATGCTGTCGCCATTGTCCTGGTTCAACAGGCTGGCTTGGATTAGTATGTGAAGTCCTTCATTTGTTGTACATAGAATGTCACTTTGTTTAATATTTTGACTATAACTAACATTTTTGCGTACACTTTGAGGGGAAATTAATTCCACATGTCTACTATAAATACACAAGATATTAAAGGATTCTTTACTCGGCTAACATTTGGTCTTGATTTCCCAGAGCTAATATGTCCTGTGCTCCCTGGGGCGGCAGTGACACAGCAGCTTATTGAGAAACTAGCCAGTCCATCACAATTATGAGCAATATCGACCCACCGAAGAGAGATATCATACATCAACCGGGTGTATTTATCTTTCATAAAGTCAACAAATGTGTACTGTATCCAAAAAAATTCCATCATCTAACACAATACCAAGTTTCACAGAACCATCACAGTAACAATTACGGCGAACAAACTGGTACAATACAGCCATTGAGAGTTATATAAGCTGCAGGCTCATGGCCAAGCTTCCACATCTGTTGCCTTTTTTTCCCTTTTACCTGCACAGTGATATTTATAATCTGAAGGTCTTGGACTGTAGAAAAAATAGGAAAGGAATGATAAAAAATGAGCTTACTATAGAACGCTTCCTAAAAACAGTATTTTAGTTTTGAGGTCACTCGGGACTATACGTGACTTGTTTGGAGTGTTTCTCACACTCGTTTACTGAAGGTTGATTCCTTCCCGCAGGAGCCCTTGCTCACTCTTCCCAAATATCTCTGGCCCCTACTCTAAGGGGGGAGGACGTAAATCTCACCCCTTAAGAGATTACAAACTATTAAAGGCATATGATCCAGGATGGATGGAAAGCAGAGCTTCGGAGGGGCTAACAGGAAAGACTCCAGCTTGCCTGGAATGACTCTTGCTGACACACTGGCCCCATTCTCAGTTTATTACTGGAGTCCTACTGGTATATATACGATTGTTGATGCTCTAAATCCAATCTAGTGCTATGCATACAACTTTGGGAAGGGTCATAGTGTATCTATGATAATGTAAGGGCTCAGTAACCCACATAGTCAACGGAACATGAGAACCATTTTTTTTTTTAATTAGTGGTGTCAGATGTCAACAGTTAGATATATAATACATGAGTGTACCAGTTGATAAAAAAAGATTCATATGTTGTCAGATAAGCACACTTTAGGAAATGGCTGGATGTACAGCTGGGATAAACACAATCCCAGGGATCATCAAAAAGATATCGGGAAGGACCAATTGAATAGAAGCGGCTGTGGATCAGGAGGTAAAGCAGCTGTCCTCTAATCGGTGGTTAGATATTTGGGAACTTCAGTCTCCGTCAAGGTGTCATTGGGCAATATCGAACCCCAAATTCTAGGCATGCGTGAGAATGTTTATCAATCTTAAAGAAGATGTGGCAGCGTATGGTAATATCTGACAACAGTTTAAGAATCCATTAAGAATTGGTGAACATTGGCTTGTGTTGTAAAAGGTAAGCGTTAGGTTTAAGGTTAGCTTTAAGTGGTCACTAAGACTACCAATTCGCTATCTAAATGCAATCGATTTACAACTTAAGAACCATGTTGAGATTTTTGTTGGAACCCCCACGCTGAAAAATTCAATAAACCTGTATACATTATGTCTGTAGGCACAACCACTCTCACAGATCCTGCAGGCATATTCAAGTTGAAGTCTCTAGGGTAAATTATTCTGAATGCACTCTAATGAGCTGGAGGAAAATGCTGAGTGATCTTAACGAGTCCCAGTTGTCTCAGTTTTGATGGTCACCATCAGCATTAATGCAAAGTAGCCTTGATGGTTGCTGAGCTGTTGTCCCCCAGGAGAACACTACGAAAGACAAACTGTGTGTTTAACTGTATTTGCGTCCATTCATGTCAAGATAAAAAGAATACCAATGCCAAAATCACTTCACCTATTTCCAATTCCTGGTATAAAAAGACACTCAAATGAGATTTCTGACACTTTAGAGTTCAGAAGCCATGAAGCGTAATCAATGTGGTGGTTTGAGAAAACATGCAAACATGCTCCTAATACAGCTAACATTCTGATGTTCAACATGGAAAACATTTTTTGTGATGCACAGATGACTGATGGAAATGTCATTGATATTGAATTTTTGTGGTCATAATCCAAAGTATTGGAAAAATAAATGAAAAGTCCTGAAATCACCAAACGTACAACAATTAATCCTAAAAATGGACATGAATTTGTGCATAAATCCATCCAATTGTTGTTGGGACATTTCATGTAAAACCACAAATATCAACCTGCTGGTGCTAGAAGAAAAGTCAATAGACCAAAAGAGTCATTACTGTAGATGTCATCCTCCATTGGCAGTCATTCTGACTATCTATTAATTTGCTATTGAGTTATTTGGTCTGGATCAAAGGGGTGGATGTTGTCCAATTCAGTCCCTTGACCCACAATGCTGATTTGACCAAACAAAGGTTTAGGTTTAACTACATGTATTCTTATTACCTGGCCAGTACTAGTCTAGCTATTAAAACACAATATTGAGAACAGATCTTTTGTTCATAATTATTCATTGATCCATCTATAACACCCCGGGGTTAGGGTTAGGGTGGAGATGATGATATCTATTTCATCTTTCAATCTCTGACACATCCTGAAAGCCATCGTGAGCGTATCCCTTTTGTCTTCATGATACAAAGATACACTGTCACTCCAAATCCTCTAATTTCTTGATTAATGATCCCCACGGCGACAGCATTAAACACACGTCTAACTGTCTACATAACCTCTGTAAAAAATGAAATTGAATAAATGAACACATGCTGTGTGTTTGTGGTTACTAAACACACTCCGACACACTGTGAAGCGCTCCTTTCCTGACAGCTGAACAAAAGCTGCTCTGTTTGAAACAAAACATCACAATGTGCAAGAGGCCCCAGACTTCACTTGGCTTTCCCCCAAGCTCTCCAACGGCTCATCAAAGTGAGAATAAGGAAGGAAATCCACCGTGGTTTCATGGCAAGCTCAAACATGGACTCAGCTTTTAAAACGGTCTTTGAACAATTGCCATCTTTTTTCTATTTTAATTTTATTTGGAGTTTCAAGTGTGAAGACTAAGAAACATATCAGCCGTGCTATTAAAAAGTGTCAAATCACGTCTTTTGAATATGTGCAAGACATAGAAGATACAAATGGATGTCTTGTGAAACTGCAAAAGAAACATAATTTGTCCACATTCAAGGCCTATCTTTATCTTTAACAAGAACATCCACGCCCCATCTGGAGTTAATACCACTTGGCAAAAGAGAGGCTCTTACAACAGACTGCCAAACACCTTAGGGTGGAGCTGATGAATCAAGACAAGTTTGGTAATGTATCTGTCCCTGGGTGGGTGGGAGGCGTCTGGCCAGTCAAGCAGGGAGTTAGGCACGCCAAGGTCCCTGGATGGCAGCATGACAGGCAGGGGGGGGATTGGCTGGACGAGGTGCCTGGGAACCTTGCTCTAAGAGGATGACAGCTCTATAAGTCAGGCCCTGATAAAGCAGTCAGGAGTGACAATCTCTGGGCCCCAGCCAGCGCAGCGTCCGTCCTGCTCAGATAAAGTCCGACAGGCCATCCATCAGTCCGGAGACAGAGAGCTGGACCCATGCTCTCCTGCCTCAATGGAAACAACTCAATGACCAGCCGCTGAAGGAATGCACGGAGCCTCTTGAGAGACAAACAAAGATGGCTGTGAACCATCTCTGTAGGAATCATGCATAGAGATTAGTGGGAGTGTGCGACGCGTAGCTTGTTAAGAGGTGGAGGTGCCACGTCTCCAAGTGAAAGGGTGGAGATGGAGGTTGACAATAGCGTTTGACACGGCACGTCTCCCGCTAAGAGGACCACCGCGGCTGCAGACAGCGGGCAAACACTAGAGAACCTTGATACCATAATGGGAAAGCAATAAGCCATGGAAAACTGCACATTTCACACAATACATTCCACATGTCGAGCCTGCGTGAAAGGCAGACAATGCCAGCGTCACAAGGAATAGAAAGAAATACCATCCCCAAGTCCTTCCTATAGGATGTGAGGATACAACATGTTACACATCTTCAGATAGAAAGGAGATGTGATTTCAGATAAAGCCACAGGGTCGGTGCTAAAAACAATTTTGAATGGTAAAAATTACAATAATCTTGTAAATACACAGGACTGTAAATGTAATTATTCAGTGCAAACATCTTCACCTAGAAAAGCCACTTCACTGCTTCCTCTTTACCCATTCAGCTTTGTATCGTGGTCTAAAGTCAGGAACTTATCTGTGTGTGGCTCATGGGAAAATATAACCAATTTCAAAAGAACAAACAACGATTTCCCTCTTATGTTTACTCAGAGTTGGCCGGTTCGAGTTTTACGTGACATAAGTAAATTAGGGGTTCTGCATTAAATGAAGCTTATTATTATTCATAAATTAGCTCATTGTTTCCCTCAGTGTTTACAGTGGCTGCTAAATGTTTCTGATAATGTATGAAAACTGTGAGTGTGTGGCTGTTTAAATATCCATGCATCTGGTGTATGTTATTGAAAAATAATATTACACTTGTTTTTGAAAGATTAAGGGAAAAGTTCAACACTTTTGTAAAATACTTTCTTCATGAAAATTAGATTAGAAGATCCATACCAGTCTCATATAGTCCACCAAGGCTATCTAATTAAATGTGCAGCTACAGCCATGAGATCGTTAGCTTAGCTTAGCATGAACACTGAAAATAGGAAAAAACAGTTATCCTGCCTGTCCAAAGTATTGCACTCATAATATACGCTTTTGACTAAACCATACCCCCGATCTGATCGCAAAAAAGGTATCGAGGCCCATCAAGGCAATTTTTTTAAATGATGACTGACATTTTTTTTGCCTGGAGACTTACTGCATTTTCTATTTCAGACATGTATGTTTGATTGTTGGGCAACTGACACATCTCAGCTTCTCACCCGAAGTTTAATAGCAAGTCCTAGTTCATTTTAGAGGTGCTGGTAGGTGAATGTTGTACATTTCAACAGAACAGGATAGATACAGTATTTACCGGTTTCCTGTATGTAAGTAAGCTAAGCTAAGCTAACCAGATGTGGATTGTAGCTTTATATTAACAACAGTTATAAGAGTGGTATTAAGTTTATCATCTCACTCCTGGCTAGATAGCAATTAAACATATCTCCCAAATAAAACAACTATTCCTTAAGCAATGATATCAGGCCAATTATCTAAACAGTGTGATAACTCTGGGTACGGGTATAAGGTATGGTGTTTCAGCTAGCCTAACTTCTCTGTTAGCTCTCTGGTATCAACACTTTCTATTGAGTCCTAGCCATGCATTTCCTAGGAAAACATGTTTATTGTTTTACCATCAACCTCTATGGTGTGTCACCTTCAGAGGTGATTGTGCCCATTGTAGAGTGGTACAATGACTTGGAGTCACACCAGAAATAGCAACTTGTCCTCATTTAGGAGTCAAATGCCAACAGCAAGGGAACAGCATTCCTGTAAAACAATAGCATTCCGGGGTTGTATCTCAGGACTCTCAATGATGCTGTGCTTAAATGTTATTCTATAAGCAACCTTTAATCATGCCCCTAGAAAAGCTTCAACTTGGCAGAAAAGTAAGTGTGAAGGACATGCTATTTCAAATAATTAAATTCTTTCTTCAGCTGGGATTGCCATGCCTCATCTCCTTCCCTTTGGATCCAAACACTTTTCTTCATCAGATCGTGTTCAAACACTTCTTTAATTACAGCATAACACATAGAGGTGGTTGGACTGGCAATCCCTCACACAAAGCAAGGCAGCGGAATGAATGACTGGAAAGTTTGCTTTGGAAATATCTCAACGACAACATGCTACAGCAAAACTGCCACATGGAAACCATTGCAGGCAAGTCAGTGAAATTAAAATGGACTATCCATTAAACTCACACAGACAGAATATAGTGTGGAAAACATGAACATGTTTCAGGAGGGAAAATGACATCAGTGAAACTCAGAAAAGTGTGCTGTAAGACAGCAAATCCTAATAGTACTGTCTTTCTCTCTGCAGGTGCTAGCTAAACAGAGTGAACGTTCAGGCAGGTTGTTGAAGTTGCCAAAGTGATATTTTTCCTGTGACTGTAGGTTAGGCAACAGCTGTTTATCATCAGCAAGACAATCTGCCTTCTTTCACTTTATACTGTAGCGTGACACTACAGGGAAGACTGTTGCTTCTTCTGTATGAGCAAGAGTACATCCTGTTGCTCAAGAGACATGAATGAGGAAGACATTTTTTTTAAAAGTAGTCGAAAGGATTAGACAAGAAGAAGAGCAGCAGATCGCAGCATGTCTCTCAAAATGACATCACCAATACTGCAGGCCCATTCACAAATCACTTTTCATTTAGAGATATGCTAACTCCATCATTCATCGTTAAATTCACGAAAAGATGAATGTATGATCATGCTGCACTGCTCGGACCCTGGGAAGGTTGCAGACGGTGTCCTGGCAGAGGATCACACAAAGGTAAAGGCTGTTCTTCCATCTGATAGGCTTCAGGTTGTCTGCCAAGGCCGGGCTACCTGCAGAAGAAAGGTTTGGCTAATATCAAAGGCAGGTTACCTCGTCTCTATCCAGCTGTCACCGGGTTTTTAGTTCATCTTGCCTGAGGGAACATCTGTCCCTCTCATTGAACTGAATCCAAAGTCTCATTAAGGCCTTATTTAGAGTAGAGGTTTGGTCTTTAACTCTTTCTGGCTGTCACGCTCATGGAAGTAAAATAGTCCCTGAATGTCTAGTGCCCAAACAAAGCATTACATTTTATTTAACTGATACTTTTATCCAAAAGTGAGTTACAATAAGCATTCAACCAGGAAGAAACCAAATGACTGCACGCTGTCAGTAAGCCAAACCACTGCATTGGCTTCAGGTAAGCTAAATCTTTGTAAGTGCCACGTACAGAAGAGATCATTCCTTTTCTTTGCCAAGGTGCAGTCGAAACAGGTGGGTTTTTGCAGTCTGCAACGAAAGATGTGTAGACGTTCTGCAGTCCTGTTATCAATGGGGAGCTCGTTCCACCATTTTAGAACCACAAAAGAAACTATACCATATAACAAGCCTATAGGTTTGGCGTGAAACACAAAAGCCTTATTCACTGTTAGTGGCATTAAAACTGAGACGTCACAATGTCTGCACTACATTTTTTTTGTCCCAATTGTTCATCGGTTTTTTCAGAACATTCCAGCCTGCAGAGCAGCATTTGTCTATAGACTATCTATTCACAACCTGCAGGGTTTTCAGCCATTGTTAACCTGAAGCCACAGTGACTGGAGGATAAAGCCTCCCGTAAAGTCTTCTCAACACACTCATACCTGATGCTGCACGCTTACAATGAAATGCAGATTCCTCTAGCCTCCAGCCAGGAAGGCTGCTGGCGCTCAGGGAGCACATCCTTTGTAGGTGAAAACATTTATCAGAAAAGACACATTTTACTGCCGTGCTGTTTTCCCCCCCCTCATTTTACAGTTGTCTTGTGTAGTTTAAAGACCCCCAAGGGTCCAGTATGTTAATGAATGATCCTGTCTAATTACATTAATTGTATGGTTACTAGTTAGAGATTTTAGAGGTGAAAGGGTTACAGCAAGTCACTTTGTGCAACAAGGACAAAAACAATGTGTAAGAATTTGGATCGGCTGTAATCTTGTTGGCAGAAAGAAATCTTAGTTTAACTGGCCAGGAATTAAACGAGAAGATTGGTACCACTTTATTGTTTGTCCATTAAATATTAAACCACTGCTAGCAGTAAGTTAGCTCAGCAGAAAGAAGTCAAAAGAGCTAGCTCATCTCTTTCCAAAGGAAACACAATGAATACAGCAGCACCTCAAAAGCTTGAAAATCACACATGACACCTTAGTTGTTTTATTTATACAAAAGGTGTTAAAATCAATATATTGTATGTTGAGGAGGGTTATGAGCTGTACTATTTATGGGTCTGGTGGTAACAAAGGTTGCTGGGCAAAACTCTACGAAGTACTTGCTTTTGTTGTTTTAGGCAGATTTTGCAACATTAAGACAAAGTCAGGGTATGTTTCACCATATTCCCAGTCTTTAAGATAAGCTTGACACAAAGTGTAAAGCTTTATACTCAACAGAAACATAAGACAGTGGTATTGATCTATTGAAATAAGCATATTTCCTCAAATAACAAACTGTTTCTTCCACTGTGCTGGTTGTTACCATTTCTCTACTCTTTTCTTTCTTCCCGGTTCAAGATAGATAGAGGACCTCGGGGAATATGGATCAAATGAAACCTGTTCCAGCTTGTCTAACTTGTGGCTAATGGCCTATGTTACTTCCATCTGCTTTTACAGCAGGGTATAGAACCTGGAGATTGATATTTAATATAAATAATCACGTGATGGTGGTAGAACAATGCAACGAGAGGTGCGAAGGACATCGTACCATAAAGAACTGGAAAAACCACACTTACATTTCAAGACTTACAAGTTGAGTTGTTCACAAGCTCCCGCATTACTATTCATCCCACATACCAAGTATACTCCCTTGTTCAAAGAATTACACTCCCTACATCAACTTTTCATTAAATATACATAAATCCAACATGGTTTAATAAAGTGGACTACAGTGAATCTGCCTTAAAATGTGGGATGATAAATACTCAATCTATATGTAAATATGAGGTACATTGGGAGAAAAAAATCAAAACGTAGGAAAAATGCATTAGCCGTCCTATTTGATCAGCGCCCCAGGAGCTGAAGTTATGATTTTTAATGGAATCTGAGGAGGAGAGAGTGTCAGAGGCGAGGCTGGGAGGTGAGACTATGAAAGTGCTCACAGGAGAGCCGGCTATCTGAGAGGACGCCGGATAACAGAACGGACCTGAAAGATTACTCGCACTGAGTGGAAATGGATTTATTGCATTTGGAGGTCTCAGCAGCTTTTCTGCACTCCCACAATCACAAACGAAGAAGAAAAAGTCATGGTTTACGTCAAATAAAACTAACTTTCTCGTTTTACACTCAAAACAGTGTCTGTTATGGCTCACAGCAGGTTGAACCAAAGCAACTGAAAACCTCTGTTTTCCAAGTTTAAAATCTTAAAATGTGGTAAAGTTTACTTTTCAACAATTTTTGTATATTTTACTATTTAAAGGTGGGGTAGCTAATTCACTTCAGAAACACTTTTTTTATATTCCATAGAATGCTCTTAACATCCCGATAGCAATACATTAAATGCTTTGGCAATAAATACATTAAAAAATGTCATCTGTGGAAGCCATGGCGCTGTAAAAAGCACGACCAATCATCTGAGCCGGCCCGGCTAAAATAACTGGATGGCCTACCTGCCTGTCAGACTTCCATCTGTGCACAAACTTATCACGTGCCCTCATTGGTCATGTGCGCGTTCGTGTGTGTTGGAGGAGGGGCTCTGTAAGGAAGTCTGAAGGAAGTGGCAGATTTTTTTCGGTTGTGTACACTTTCAAATTCTAGCGCACTCGAGCTGGTTTCTCCATTCTTGCCTACAATTCCTTTAACACCTATGGCACTAGCTTCCCATCGATCATTTTCATGATCTTATTTTTACTATCCAGTAAAGGGTTAAAGATACAACCATGCTAGCTTGAATAAGATACGCAGTGTTTTCCTAAATGCTAGAGTTACTTTGCTGTTATGCTTGCAACAACAATGCTAACATGCTAACGTTTCACAGGTCTGACTGTTACCATGTTCACATCTTAGCTTTGCGAGTAAGCATACTGTATTAACATTTTCTAATTAGCATGCAGGTACTTTGTCCTTAATCCAAAGTAGGCTATTGGACATTGTGACATGATATTGACACTTAGCCTACTGAAAAGTCGGGAAATCATCAATTCCAATATGGCAATTGAATTCAATGGCAATACATCCCATAGTGGTCAAAACCACAAATTGAACCTAATCATCAAAATGTGGTGGGAAAACAAAATCAAATCAAATCAGACTGTTGAAAAGCAGTTTGATTGAAATGACATTGGGTCAAACCATTGAATAGCCAAGGCAAACGAGCCCAGATGAAACATCTATGGAGTCCTATTAGGCATGGCTATTATAGGGTGTGTGTGCATGTCCCCATCTGTCTTTAACAAGGTGTAGAGCAGTAAAGGATGGTGATATGTGCCATGCAGCTCTGTATGAATCATGTGACATTCCACACATAGTGATTAGTGCCAAATTACGGTCCACACGGGGACCTGCATGAAGTGCTTGCAGATGCCTGTCTTTGCTTGGGCGTCAAACGGACAAATTACCCAATAGCTTAAGAGAGTGGTGCTCTGATGGCATCACCGTCACATGAAGAAAGACGTCTAACCGGCTAAATACCAATGACTAATTTCATGCTGCACATATGTATTGAAACTGAGTAAAAACACCCATGCTTCATTTCAGATTCCAACAAGTCAGGCTGCATCCCTTTTGTAATTCCCTGCTGAATCTTAGATTGAATATCTCACCATTTAAAACGCATACAGCTGTAAATCAGACTTGAAATAACCTTCACCTTAAGTGCAACATGTTCGCACGTTGCAGATTTAGTGAGATGCTCTGTGGGTAAACTGTAAATTCTGTATATCATAAACATTATGACCTTAAGGTCTAAATGCTGGTAAGTTTACTAAATACTATTATAGGCTGTCTGTAGGATATAAAAACTGTTTTATAATGACAGGGAATAATAAAGAGGAGGAAGGAAATAGGCATACTTGAGCCTTGTTTGTTTGTAACCTTTATTTATCCAGATTGGTCCCATTGAGATCATAGATCTCTTTTTCAAGGGAGACCTGCAGCAATTAGGACACAAGAAACATAAAACAACATCAAATAATAGAGGATATCATACAACATATTTACAAGCTACATTTACATACTTATCATCATTTACAAATACCCATAGTTTCAAAGAGCATTTCACTTCACTTGCTTTAAAAACATTCAGAGGAATAAAATTGCTCAGTTTCAATTTTAGTTGTAGACTGTTCCAAGCAAGTGGCGCTGCGCACATAAAAGCTGTCTTACCTAAGACAGTCCTGGCTCTTGGCACATCCAACAAGACTCCATCATGCGATCTCAGACAATAGCTGCTTGCAACTATCTGTGTTATCAGTGAACAGATGTAATACGGGAGTTTACCCAACATGGCTTTATAAATAAACATGTGCCTCCGTACAGTAAGTGAAGGCAAACCTGCCTTGGTATACAGTGAGACAATCATCAAGCCAGATACCTAGGTATTTCTAACAGGCAACCACTTCAAGTATTATTCCTTGCGCAGTTACAATATCCAAAACAGGCTCTGGTGTCTTTTTAGCTTTTGAAAAGAGCATTACCTTAGTTTTTTTAACATTTAAAAGAAGCTTTAGTTCAGAGAGCTGATGCTCTTTTCAAAAGCTAAAAAGACACCAGAGCCTGTTTTGGATATTGTANCGACGATGAGCGTCCTGTCGCCCTACTCAGATTGGTGTGTCCCGCACCGTCGTGTCTTTTCAGCCGTTCCGACACCTTTTCGGCCGATAACCCACCGATTCAACATATCGACTCGGTAGGCAATCGGCCAAAGGCAGTCGGTCAAATAAATCACTCTGATTGGCTGCTCAGCTTAGCGAATCAGTGCATGAGAAGCGAAACGGAAGTGAGGGACCCAAACAAACGATTAAGAAGGCAAATCTGAGATTTCATTTAACTCCAGCTCTCGACACAGGTTCGGGAAAGCCCCGTGAGCTTCTCGCTGTAGAGTGAAAATGGAACGCACACGCTATTTGTTGTTTGTTTATATCACGCAGTCTCTTCTTCTTCTCTGTGTATTATGCGGTCTGTCTTCCGGTTGTTGCCTCTTTTGAATGGCGAAAACACACTACCGCCGCCTGCTGGTAAGGAGAGTTATTGCCACTCACGCATGCACAGTTTGTACGTGCTAGTTGGCCGTCGGCTGAAGTCTTTGCGGTGTGTTCCAGTGCGACACATGGCCGAAACGCAGAGAGGCGAGGCAACGCAACATTTGGGGTCCGTCCGTGTCGGTTCTTTGGTGTCAGCTTGGTGTGTCCCTACCTTCAGGCTCCAGTCATGTAGCTACTGACGGGCACTGTGGTACTATAGATTTATCGATTTTACCTGAAGTTCTCTTTTGGTGCATCATTAACATCGACTCAGTACTGAAGAATTGGTTCTTGTGTCATCCCTAATATTGATTATGTGACATTTCATGAACATGCCCATCTGCAGTGCAAACAAGAAAGTCATTATCAAATGCAGATATTTTTTTCTTCTGTAGTTAACTGTTTTTAGAATACACCTGAGCAATGAGCTGCATGTAGGAGTGAAAAATATACCAGTGACAATAGACACAGATGTACTAGCTGAGCTTATCTGTTATTTTCCCATTCATTTTTAATATAAGAACAAGAATTCCCTTTTAGCACGTGCTGACCAGTGCTGTCATAAGAATAATGTTTTGATGGAAGTAATGGATCATCTGTATCGCTGGGAGTTTTATTAATCAGCTTTAACACGACTCTCTCATTTGTACTCGGAGGTTTCATGTTTCCTCCTCTCCTTCTCCAGGAACCTCTCTGCCATTCAGGACCGGGAGATCTGCTGCTACTCCGTCTCCTGCAAAGAGAAAGACAATATAGGTAAGGAACGTACCAGACTTTAAATGATTCTACATCTGTACTTCCCTGCTGCGGTCTTTAAACACCCCATCTCCCTTTTTCTTCAGATATCACGCTGCAGTGGCTCATCCAACACTCAAAGTCTCGAAGAAGCTGAAGATGAAGACCCCCCCCCATTGCAGCCTCAGCCCCTAATGCTCATGGGACCTCGACAGCCATCCCTTCCTCTGCCTCTGTGAAGTTATCCAGCTCTGCTCACTACCAACGCCCCCGCACCACGCAGTACACTACCATAGCCCCCTTGTACAGCACTACCCCCACCCGAATATCAGGAGATTTAAGAAGCTGTTTCAGTACTGAGAAGGTGGATTATTCGTACCCGTCATGCCTTATATGGACATGCTGTGTCTGGCTTTTTAATATAGCTTCTGCAAGAATCTCATGATGTCACAGTGTGGTATTCCCCAGATGGTCTTCCTTTAATCCCACATCTAGACATCCTTTTGTCAACATTTGGTGTTTACATGACACTGTTGTTGTTGGGTTTTTTTAACAGTTAATTGCCAAATAACGATGCTAGTTTATGCTAATCCCTACCGTTTAATTCTTAATGAAATCTTCCCACTGTCTGCAGCCTGCATTTTATTTGCTGGTATCCATTTTTATTAAGTGACTTAAGTCAATGTTTACACATAACTTAAAGATGAACAGAAGTGTTGTTTTTGTCTGAAGCAAAAAAAAAATCCTAAAATAGGTCATCAGAGTTTTATAAGTGCCTTCGGCTGAGTGAGTGATCCAATCAGACAGTAATTGCCCCATGCGACTCCTAACCCACTATTATGAATAAACAGTCGGTTCAGACGCAGCATAAACCCCTTGATTACACTTAAAGCCACACTGCGATAATCACGTTATGTTTTGTGATCTTATTATTATGCCTTGAGAAAAAGGCAGTTCTGTAAAATACGGTATGAGGTCATTGAGAAGATGTTACATTTGCTTTAGTTCATGCGTAATTGAATGTTTTTTTATATAGCTTGAAAATGTTTTCTTGCTGTTCTCAGGTTGTTGAATGATTTGAGTTTGACTCTTATGGTCTGATCTGTCGGGGTGTGCCCAGTATCTGTTTCATTATCCCCATTTTGTTCAGGTTGGATAACAGGAAGCCAGTGTTACGGAGAACAGAAGATGGTGGACGCTTGATGCCATTTAGCATTTAGCGCCCTCCTCTGAATCCTGATGTCTTTATTAGAAGCCTTAGCAGCCAAAGGACAACGCTGTCTCAAAAAGCGATGTATAACCTGGCAAGTTGTTTCCTTTTAACAAAAGACAATGATTTTAGAAATACTTATCTGCCCTTGCTTGGCCAGTTTATCTTTTATCAATGTGTGTGTTGCTGGATCCCTTCTGCCATGATGCTGTATGCAGGCCCAAACGCTCCTGCATTTCACTGTAATTCTTTCTACAAATGCATTACAGACACTATTATATCCCATTGTTCTGTCTGGTGATAGTATAGTTGGGACCACAGCAGCAGTGAGGGGTTCTACATTTGGGTGGCGGGGTGGAAAAGCTTTGTTACCTGTGTTATTATAATAATATACCCTATTTGCAATTTGCATGTGCAGAACTTAATTCACATTCAATTGCAGACTTTGTAAATAAGATTTAGCATTTTTATTCCAACAGATGCTCCTGTAGATGTCATGCATTCTTTCGCTGTGATGATTGCTAATAAATTTGTTTTTATTTTTAAGGATTTCAAAAGTGTGGCATCCAGATTCTCTTTTGTAAAGCGAACTGTTTTAGTTAGTCACCACTAGGTGGAAGCAGAGCGCTTTGGATGGGACTGTGCAACTTTACATGAAGTTCTCTTTTGGTGCATCATAAACATGTTTTTCTTTTAGTGACTTTTTTTTAGATCTAGTCGATGCAAGTTTCAGTATTAAAGAGATTGAGAATATAACTGAGTGATGAAAGATGGCTGAGATGCTCAGTTTCCAGCTGTTATCACACTCTGATTTGAAACCTTACTGTAACTTTGCCCACAATGCATTTCATAAAGAGGTTTGCATCAGGCAGCCTACCTGCAACTACAAATCCCGTGATCATTTCCAACATGCAAACTTTACTTTGTGCAACTGGTCTGTGGATAGCTGTTTTTTAATCCGCAGCTATTGTCAGGGTTCCTACGATCCTTTAAAACCTTTCAAAAACGAGTTTTCCAGGCTGGTAACATAAATAGATTTAGGAAAATCCTTTTACATGTTGGATAATATATGGATTAGTTTTGGCCTTGACTGAAATTATTGTTACAGTAGTCTTCTATGGATAACATTTAACTTCTGTTGTGTAGCTACATATACTTTACTTACCGCATTGTTTTTCATTTATCATCAGATGTCTTAAGAATACACCTATAGGGCAATCACTGATGTTCTCTCATGCTGAAAGCCAGTGCTACGCTTATATAAGTGCTTGTAAAGTTTGTATTTTTAAAAAGGAATTTTCTGTTCCTATATTGTCAGAAATATATTTTAGTAGGCTAACAATTACCAACTGTTAGAAGCGTCAAAAAGGGTTGGGTTTGAATTTTCTAGGTTTCTTCTTTTCTGGGCTTGATATTATCATGGGTCCTTTTTTAAAAGCCATGGACAACATTTAAAATGTCGTCTATAAAAATGAAAATGTGTGGGAAACCCTGTATTGTTACTTAAAGATCCCATAATGGACGGTTAACACCTCCTCAGTGTTTCTTGGCAGAAAGGATGGCTATTATGCAGAGAAATGTAACACTGTGAAGCAGGACGCTAAGACGAGTGCGGGGAGCGTGTCGCAAACTGGGGGGCAATAAAGAGATCTCACAGCTGGAGCGGGGGGTGGGGGCTGGGCTGGGCTGTTAAAACAAGAACACCTTAATTAATCTCATTTCTTAAACACAGCTTTTAAAGGAACAGCTGCTGCCATTTATTGTACCAGGGCGGTGGTTGGGACGTGTGGACAGATGGAGGTGTTTTCGATGGATTCCATGGGTCAGTGTGTCAGCATGGGAACTTCATATTCATAGACATGTGTGTGGTTTATGTTTGCATCGAGTGCATGGGATTAAGCAGAGGTTTCCTAACCTGCCACATTAATTAATGTGAGGAGGTCACGGAAAAGAGTCGAAAGGCGTGATGTGCTATTAATGCACTTACACTCCATTAGCTCATTATTTAATACATGTTTTGCACAACTAACCATTTGCATTTCTGAAGTATCTAAATAGTCGTATGAATGGCCATTCATCCCAAAATTACTAGTGCTGCTATAAATCGAGTTATGTCATTTGGTCCAGACATGATTCACTCCCTCATAGTGTATGCTCTGTTTAATTGCTGCAACCCTACATTTAATAAATCCCTCTGTGAACACTTGATGGATGTCTTAGATTAGAAGGATGTTTTGACAAGGCATGGTCATTATGATATATTTAGGAACACATCTCAAAAGGACCTCAGGGAGTCTGCATTATAATCCATGTGGTCTAAATATTGTAGAACTTGTAGTTTACTCTGATTTAATATATTTAACCTCTGCATCATGAAACTTTGCTATTGCAATATCTAGAGGTACGTACAAGTAATACTTATTAAAAAGCTCTAATACTACATTGTAGAAATGCTGTGTTAAAAATAGAAGTCCTGAAATGAGCATCAAAATATGGTGCAGAATAATACAATTATATTTCCTGATAACTATTGATGCTTAATAGTTTTTCTGTATAATTATCTTATACTTATCTAATAAATGATTCTTTGTAAATTAATGTGAATCTTAAAATAAAGTAATATTATTTAATCACTGCAGTGAAGTAAAATGTGCATCTTATTGTACTGAGGTAAAGGTATAAATGGCAAAAATTGATTATAGAAGTCATATTTTCTTATTTTTATTCAACTTCCTCTCATAAATGGTTCATCATAACTGAGGCTGCTGTCACTGAAATAAACAGTTTCCCTTCTTTCTTTCCAGCTTCCAGTCCTGTACAGTCTCAAAGAACACTTCATGTGGGAAGCCTGAACTTTACTTTGGCTCAATCGTAACACTTGAACACATCACACCTAGTTTATGCAGCCTCATAATCATTTCTTTCACGCAGCCTGTGTAAAGTCTGGTCAAGTCAGCAGGAAAAAGGTAAAGGTCAATCTGTTCGTCAACGAAAATGCTCTCCTCTCCAGCAGGGCATCGTTTTTGCCATAGGAGACTAAAGTTTAGAAAGGAGGTCAAGTGCACGGGTGTGTGTTTGTTTTCACACCCAATGGCGAAAAGGGGGTGTGGCAGTGAGAGTGGCCTGTTAGAAAAATCTACATAATCTAAAAAACTATTTATGGCCATGTTTGTCGAAGACTCTTGTGGACGTCATCACCGTTCCTGAACTTTCGACACGCTGTTTTTCATTTGTTTATTTCTTTGACTAGAATAGGAGATATCATACCATAGAGCTCCTCTCTCATTGGTGTGGGTTCGCCCTGCCGCCTAATATTAAACCTCACCCTTGCATCAATAGTTTATCGTATAAACACTTGTGGGATCATTGCACTCAGCAGAGAGTGTTCGAGGTTGTGTGTGTGTAATGAACGGATGCACGTGTGGATGCATGCGTGTGTAGTCTGCTGTTATTGCAAATGTAAGCTTGTTTCTGCAAAGGCTCAAATCCCAAAGTTCCCAGAGGGAGTTACTCTACTCTAGCAATACAACATTAAGGGGTGGGACATCTCTAAGCAGTTCACCAATCACGACAGAGCCGACCAGCTATCCAATCAGAGCAGACTGGGCTCTGGTTTCAGACAGAGGGTGAAAAGAGGTG